AGTATTCAAGGGACTCTTAAACTAAGAATCCAATGCAGTGCATTTAATGTATTCTGTGATGCTGTCTCTGAATTTTTTTTTATTTTGAAAAAAAATTGTGCTAAAAATTTACTATTTCATATATATACATGTATATATATATATATATATATATATATATACACATATATATGAGAAAAGATCCTGTGGTTTCTCAATAAATATTAACAAAATGTTTATATCATATTAAGACCTGGTATATGCTTATTGAATGGAACATTCTCCATTTATCCCTATATATATTTTTTCTAATATAATAGAAAATTGATTTACTTCTGAACTAGAGGATTCATAAATATTTTAATTTTCATGATCCAGAAGAATTTCCCCAGCTACCAGAGTCAATTTTTTCTCTCCTGCCAATATAATGCAGTGGTTAAATATGCAAGAGAAAGCTTTGTCATAATTTTAAAATATTACTCAAGTGAGCTCAGCAAAATTTCACTAAAATTATGAACAGTGGCATTTCTCATGCTCTGATTAGAAATTGTGAAGTGTGTTCTACAATCACAGAAAGTTAAAAGCAACAAAATAATCAAAATCACTGTTTGTAATGAACATATCTACTTATGAATTGATGCTTTTTTAGATTTTATAGACAGGTAGCATTTATTCTGTATGGCATAATCAGCATTTATTAGTGGCCAGAATGTGTCACTAATGACACGTTGGATCTCCTGGTTTTCTTCAGATATTTATAACTACACTTTAAACTTTTTGAATTATGTAGGGAAATTTTAATGGAAGAATCTAAACTTTGGTGACTGAAATTTGCTATATATTTTATAGTGCAGTTAGGTTCTAGAATATTTAGCTTTAAAAAATGTCCTTTGAAGTATATTGAGATAAATGTCATTATCTCATAGCTGAGCAATTCACCAAGATTTTTATAGAGATGACTGCATTGTTTTGCGTTCATATATTTAAAGGTGATGGATTTTAAAAACTAATTTTCATTTTTCAAAGGACAGGGTGTTGCATGTTTTGTGGGAAGTGCAATGATTGACATTTTACCTGGTGAAATATCTGGATAGTTAAATCAACTTTTCTTCTAAAGCCACACTTCAACATTGACCCAATCCAAAGTTATTTTGTCTTGACATCTTCACATCTTTGCAGTTCAGTGACCTAGGTACAGTTGTGAAGAGCCTGTGGAAGGATTTGGTGATGCTTGGGTCACGTTGTACTTTCCATACATGCTTACTGGCCTTATTACCATTTCTGTACGCTGCCTCATTGAGGAATACGACGGTTACTTCTAACTTCAGTGGTCACCTGCAGTGCATAAGATTGTTATTTGCACAGATTTATTTCCTTTGTGTATTAATATACAGTTTTTTCAAAAAATATTTATTTGAGAGAGGAAGAGAGAATGAATGGGGGAGGTGTGAGGGAGAGAGAGAATCTTAAATAGACTCACTGTTGATCGTGGAGTCCCACATGGGGCTGGATCTCACCATCCTGAGATCACAATACTAGCTGAAACCAAGAGTTGGATCCTTAACTGACTGAGCCACTCAGAATCCCCCAATGTATAATTTATTGACCCCCAACTGAGCAATATTGAATTTATCAGCTGAATAGGAACACTTGAGAGGAAAAAAAAAAAAAAGAAGAGGTATTACTTATGCTGGGACAATAGACATAAACTGTGGTGACCCAGATGTGTGGTCACCCTACCCATGGAAGATTTTCTTCTTTTTTTCTTTTTTTTATGGAAGATTTTCTATTCCAGGAAAGTGTACTCCAGGGAAGAAAGGTACCCTTGGAAGTAGGTGGAAAGGTTTCTTGATCAGGACCCAAACCAAGTATTTGGAACCTTTAAGCACATTTCAGAGGTCAGATATGTATTTTGAGTCTTGAGTATTTCTGCACTCTACCAGTTGACTTAGAAGAGGCAAGGTTCGTAGAGAACCAAGGAACAAGACCAGGGGATTTTCCTGATGCCCAGAGAGACCATCACAGCTGGTCTTTGGTGATTAAGTCTATGGCAAAAAAGGGAAGAAGACTTTGAGGTCTTTGAGGAGTAACTTTTTTGTCAGTGATATCCTATAAACCCTGTAGGCAGAGCTGCGTAAAGAAAATCACATTCAGAAGCAATAGATTTTCAGCTAGGTATATGGGTGAGTGACATTTCCTTGTATACTGATTCACCATTAGGTGATACACAACATTTTTTCATTATCATACTGCACTTAATTCATGTTTATTTTGGGGGAAATCTATTTAAGGGAGAATAAAGTATTTGCTTATAAAGAAAAAAATAACATTCTATATCCATTATATGACTAGCTAAACAAGCATAGCTCTGAGATCTAAAGGTTGACATGTAGAGAAATTTTAAGTGGCAGTATTACTTGCGTAGTGGACTTGAGTGTTTTAAGAATTGCCATGTTAGTAATGAACTATCTTGTCGTGAAACCAGGCGTCCCTGTTTATAGAAATTTGAAGATCCTTTGATAGTTAAGATACAATGAGCTTACTCATTATAATGGTCAAATTGGTCATATTATAATTTTTAAAAGATTTTATTCATTTATTTGCTTACTTATTATTTAGAGAGCCTGAGTGAGGGGAGGGTGTGCAGAGAGGGACAGAGAATCTCAAGCCGACTCTGAGCCAAGCCTGGAGCCTGATGCAGGGCTCGATCTCACAGCACTGAGATCATGACCTGTGCCAAAATCAAGAGTTGGTCACTTAACAAGTGGAGTCCCCTGGGTGCCTGAATTTGGTCATATTATTTAAAATTGAAAATAATAGGAGCAGGCATATGATGATGGAATCCCTGGTTTCGGGAGGCTTCATAGTATATAAGCTTTGGTGTCAGACATTTTAAAGCCTGGATGTTCCATTTACTAAATTTACCACAGACAAGTTGCTTAGAGCAGCTTTTCTCTTTAGCGGATGATTACACTTACCGTGGAGGGTATTTGAAAGGTCTAATGGTAATATATGTTAAAAAAAAAAAAAAAACAACAACAACCCACAAACCTGGCACATACTGGGAACTTCTGGTAACATGTCTATTGTTCTTATTACTAAAGATAGCATATTGATCCTAGGGAGCTTGTTAAGACTTTGGTTATAGTGTGGCCAAGAATTATTTTGTCCCCTTTCTCCCAGTGTTCTAAAAAAGCTTATGCATGAAAAGGAATATAGGGGTGGTGGAAGGGGAGGAGGGTGGGGGGTGGGGGTGAATGGGTGACAGGCACTGAGGGGGGCACTTGACGGGATGAGTATGTGGGCAAATTGAACACCAATAAAAATAAATTTATTATTTAAAAAAAGTAATAATTTTTTACATTGTACTGATTTATTCCCCAAGCTAGTATCTAAGATAGCCTGATACTATGATTCTTATTTCAGTCAAAGGGAATTTAAAAACATAAAAACTAATTCCTCAAAAGCACACATCAAGTTGTTAGAATTTCTAGGTTACTGCTCAGTCTTGCTACTGTATCTCACTAATTTGGTGGCGAAACTGGTAAAGACCATGAAGCTAATACCCAAACACCCACTTAATCTAGAACTAGTTCCTCTTTTCTTAAGTTATTTCTTTGCATTATTTTTTCTTCAAGTTTTTATTTAAATTCTAATCAACATAGTGTTATTAGCTTTAGGTGTAGAATTTAGTGATTTATCACTTACACTACCCAGTGCTCATCACAAATGCCCTCCTTTTTTTTAAATTTTTTTAAATTTTTATTTATTTATGATAGGCACACAGTGAGAGAGAGAGAGAGAGAGGCAGAAACATAGGCAGAGGGAGAAGCAGTCTCCATGCACCAGGAGCCCGACGTGGGATTCCATCCCAGGTCTCCAGGATCGCGCCCTGGGCCAAAGGCAGGCGCCAAACCGCTGCACCACCCAGGTATCCCCACAAATGCCCTCCTTAATCCCTATCACTTGTTTAACCCCCATGCCCCACCCACCCTCACTTTGTTCAGCGTCTGCTTCCTGCTTTGCCTCTTTTTTTCCCCCACCTTATGTTCATCTGTTTTCTTAAATTCTACATATCAGTGAAATCATATAGTATTTGTCTTCCTCCAACTGGCTTATTTTGCTCAGCATAGTATTCTCTAGTTCCATCCATGTCATTATAAATGGCAAGGTTTCAATCTTTTTTTATGGCTGAATAATAGTTCAGTGTGTGTGTGAGTGTCTGTGTGTATATACCATATATTCTTTAAGCATTCATCAGTCAATGGACATTTGGGCTCTCTCCATAATTTGGAAACTGTTGATAATGCTGCTATAAACATCGAGGTGCTGGTATCCCTTCAAATCAGTATTTTTGTGTCCTTTGGGTGAATACCAAGTAAGGTTATTGCTGGATCCTAAAGGTAGTTCTATTTTTAACTTTTTGAGGAAACTCCATATTTTTTTTTTTGTGATCAAAGAAACTTAACTATTTCCCAACTATTTAGTTGTGTATTAAGAGGCAAACAAAAGCAAGGGTCAGAGTATCTAATTTACCTGCAATTCCAAAGTGCCTAGACTTTTTTTTTTTTTTTGAGAAAGTGTTAAAATAGCATAAGGGAATGAATACCAAGGTGCCAGCCACAAACTATTCAGCTGTCCAGAATCTATTCCCCTCTTTCAAATGGATCTTTTTAAACTACTAACTTGGCAGGCGAATCTTGTTAGTCTTGGCAGATGAATCAGTTAACTCCCTGAAAAGCTGTAGTTTCACCTTGCATCTCTAAGTACAATAGAGATGGCCAGCCAGGATGAAATGTGCCAGACTTTTAGTTAGAAGCATATAGAAGGGTGATACCTCACCCACCACATGGAAAGTTATGCTGTTGGAAAAAGTAAAACTATTCGGATAATCAGAAAACATTTATTATAAAGTGAAATGATCATTCAGCCCTCCAGAGTTGTTTGGCTAATATGAAATCAGTGTTTCAGGAATTAAGTTTCTACCTAATTTCTCTTCACTGGTTTTCCATGTGGAGCAGCAAATCATCTCACGTGTGACTTTGAGTCTGGTTTCTGCAGTTGGGAGCCATTTCTCACAGAAGATTCACACTGGGAAGTCAAGAAAGGATTGGCCAGTGGAGAGAACCACCTTCTGGGTGCTGATCACATGGCAAACACAAGTCATGGTAGGATATTTTCCTACTAAAAAACATTTTGCTGCCTTTCTTTCGTGTTGCCAAAAGATGATACTATCCGTTTTCATTTCTAGTTATAGACCATATGTGTGAGATTCTGGTGTGTCTTGCTGGAAACTCTCCAACATGATAATTTGAAATTAATTGGGTTTCCTGAAAAGAGTATTATTTCAATAACCAAGATTTTTGTTGTCTCACTTTTTACAAGGTTGGGTTGAAGGCATGGCGAGGGGGGCAGGTAAATTGCCAGAACTCATGTACAGTAGCCTTGCTTTCTTTTTAGAGCAACCCAATTTTTGCAAAACAGGAAAAAATAGTTTAATCTTCTTTCTGGAAATAGAGAACAGAGGTTTAGCACTATCTATAAAAATAAATCGACAAATACTTGAATGCAATGTAATCACTCTAAAAGCTTCTTTGTAACAATCTTCTTTCTCGTGTATTTTTTTAAAAATATTTTTATTTTTTTAAATTTTTATTTATTTATGATAGAGAGAGAGAGAGAGACAGAGACACAGGCAGAGTGAGAAGCAGGCTCCATGCACCGGGAGCCGACGTGGGACTACAACCCGGGTCTCCAGGATCGCACCCTGGGCCAAAGGCAGGTGCTAAACCACTGTGCCACCCAGGGATCCCCTTTCTCATGTATTTTTAACCACCATTACAATTTTTACATCGCTTCTTAAAATAGAGCAAAGGACATGTAACATTTCAATAAGGATTTGTGAATCTCCAAGGAAATCAGAAGGGTTTTGTTCTTTTTCTCATTTGTGTGGATGTCATTGCCTGGGTACAAGAGTCTCATATTAACTTTATAATAATACAACTGTACTGTCGATCTTCTTTAAGCTCATATAGCCCCCTTGGAGATTATTCTATTTATTTCTCCTTTGAGATTTCCAAAGACGTATGCTTGAACTAACAGTGTTAACAGTATTTTAAATTACAACCATTGGAAACTGGAGTTGGTGGGGAAGCATGCAAGGGAATAGGGAGTGAGGCTTTGGCCATCCATCTGTTGTCTAAAACTGTAAACCCAGTTTAGTTGACAAGGCTGTAAGGTCCTAATTTTTCTTTTTGTACCAATGAACCTTATTTTTTAAGATTCTGTGGTGGATTAAAGTGTGAATCAGGACTAATTATTGGAACTCTAAGTTAATAGTCCATTTTCCTCAAGCTCATATACTGTTTCTTTTTCTTTTCTAAAACCAATTACTGAGAATATATCCTATATTAGACCTGGGGTACACAGATGGAAGCCATTCTCCCTGCCTTTGGGGTGGTCTGAGGGCTAGTAACCAAAGCAAATAAATGAGGATTTGCAATAAGATATAATAAATGTTTTATATGAGATGGAGGGTGACTCAGGTGGAATCAAGATGCTTTCCTGAAGGAGGTGACTCCTGAACTGAACATGAAGGGAAATGAGAAGTTGCCAGAAAGGCTGAAATAAGGAAGGAGAGCTGCCAAGGGAGATGTTCTAATTGAGGGAATATGCTAGAAGAGGATGGGAGAGTTGCAGGTGGTTCTAGTGGAGAGACACATGCTTGGGCAGAGTACAGAAATGATGAAGCAGGCGAGGAAAGAGGGGAATTATAGAGGGCTTAGGAATGTGAAATTTCTCTGGAGGACCATGGTGACCATTCAGTCTATGAAAGCATGTGACCAATTAGTTTTGTTCTAAAAGGCAGAGACGCAACACTTTCTGTAAGGCCGGAAGCATGTCGATGATCCTACAAATGAAGCTTCTCCAGTGGCTCAGAGGCTGGGACTTGGCTTGGTGGGGGGTGGGGGGTAGAAGGCTGCAGTTAAGAAGCGTTTTTTATTTTGCGTATTTATTTTATTTATTCATGAGAGACACAGAAAGAGGCAGAGGCAGAGGTAGAAACAGGCTCCCTGTGGGGACCCTGATGTGGGACTCGATTCCAGGACCCCATCATCACAGCCTGAGCTGAAGGCAGACGCTCAACCACTGAGCCAACCAGGCACCCCTGCAGTTATGTTTAAGAGGTGTCCGAGAAGAGTGAGACGCTGAGACCAAGGGCATCCTCATTGGGAGCTTGCCTGTTGGTGTGTTCAGATTGGCCCTGGACCTGGGTCCCTGGGAGAGATGGGCTTGCTGTTTTGGGAGCCATGAAGCTCTGCCTTTGGCTAAATGTCTAATTGTGACTCTTTCTACACGTATGTTTATCAAAGTGTTGGGAGTGGGCTGTGTTACAAATAAATCAGTTTTCTGTTAAAAAAAATAATCTTGCTGAGATGAGGGGAATAGAGAGTGTGCAAGACTTGGGTAGAAAACCATGAATGGGTGGAAGTCCTAGGGAAACCATATGCAGGGCTAAACCAATGCAGTGATTCTAGAAGCTATTCAGTGCGTATGGTGGCCTTAGGAGACGTCTCCCACAGCAGGGTGGCAGAGAGCACTGGTTGCCCAAGGCTGTCAGGATGTTGTTGACATCGCACAAGTCTGCTAAGTGACTTTGTACTCTTTTTTTTTTTCCAGCTAGAAAATAGGGAAAATCAAAATATCCTTTAGGTAAAATTATGCAGATTAAATGAAGTAATGCCTGGGAAGGTTTTTTGTAGAATAAAAGCCTATTCAATGTTAAAAGCTATTTGTTGTGCATTCTGGTCAGAAAACTAGGAATACCACCAGGACTTTGACAATTAGAAAACATTTATAAGCAGTCTTCTGACATCTTATAATTACTGTTTAATGATGATTTATGCTAAAAATGATTCTAAAAGGTCCCCTTTGTTAAATATTGAAGGATGCATTTTTCTTTATCTGTGATATAAACAATGTTAACAAGTAACAATAAACTGATAGAACTAGGGATGGCTTTTAAAATTGAAAGTGAGAGAAGCAAAGAAATTACAGCTGTTCTCTAGAAAGGGTAAATCAGGGGCATCTTGGTGGCTCAATGGGTGAGCATCTACTTTGATCCAGGTTGTGATCCCAGGGTCATCGGATGGAGTCCCGCACCAGGCTCCCCAGAAGGGAGCCTGCTTCTCCCTCTGCCTATGTTTCTGCCTCGCTCTCTGTATCTCCCATGAATAAATAAATAAAATCTCAAAAAAAAAAAAAGGGGGCACATCAGGGAGTACCTCAGCCATCCAATCTGTTCTTCTTCACCTATCATTGTCGTTATCAAACTTAAAGATGATCACTAGTGGTCTTACATCATAAATGAGGAGGGGAAAAATCAGTACCAGGAAGTGCAAGGACAAATGAAGTGGGAATTCTGGGAGAAAGGCAGCAGGGTCAGACTCATGGTTCCCACATTTAAGACTGTAGACTTATATCAACCTATTATGTTCTTAGACATTTGTGTCTGTGGGTTACAGCTCTTTAAAAACCTGTTTAATTGTCAGTATTTTTCCTCCTATATGTACACTCCTAAATGTTAACTTTATGTAAGAGATGAACAGCTTGACATTATCTAGCTCTTCTTTTTAGGGTAAAATCTTGATTTTTCTAACCTTCCTTCTTTGGTTGGTTCTTATTTTCCAGTTCTTAGTTGTTACCTTATTAAATATCCAAACAGGCAACTCATGTTAATTATCTTGGACTTTTATCTATGCTCATGCCCACGTATGTATATATAATAGATATGTATACATTTAAAGTTATAGGTATTTTGGTGACTGTTTGTTTTTACCAAAGAATGAGATCTTATTGTAGCTATTATCTCTATCTTGTTTCCTTTATTAAGATAGCTCATGGCAATTCCTCCAAGTCATCAGTCCTTTTGTATTTTACTTTTTCTGTTTTTTTAATATATATTTAATTTATATTGTAATATTTATATTATAACATATTATATAAATATTTAAATTATATAATATATAATTTAATTATATAATATATAATGATATATATTTTTATTAGTGATGTGACCTCTTGGAAGACTTTATTATGGGAAGGGCATTACACAAATGATGGCACAGCCTGCCTCCTTCAGTATCAGGGACCCTGCCATTCATGGCACCCCACCCAGGTATCTGAGGGTCCTGTCCATCTGTTAAAGTATAACTTAAATGCAATAAAATTCAACCTTCACTGAGTTTGAACAAACATATATAATTGTGTAACCATCAGAAAACTCTAGATATAACAGAGTTCCATTCCCCCCTCCCAAAGCTTAGTAGTCCATGTCTGTCTCATTTCTAGCCAGTGACATCCACTGATCTGATTTCTATCCCTATGGTTTAGCCTTTTCCACAACGTCCTATACATAGGATCCCGCAGTAAGTGGCCTTTGGAGTCTATCTGTCTTGCAGTTAGCTGAATGGATTCGAGACTCATCCATGTTGTTGACTGCAGTGGTAGTTCCTTCCTTTTTGACTGCTGAGTAGTAATCCATTACATCGATAAAGCACAGTTTGTTTATCCATTGATCAGTTGGAGGGTATTTGGGTTCTTCCTAAATGTTGGTCACTACGAATATTCTGCAAAATTTGCATACAAGTTTTTGTTTGGACATAAGTTTTCATTTGACTTGAGTGCTCCATCCAATTCCTTTGTATAATTTTTTTTTTTCATTTTGGTGATAGGTACAAGAGCCTTCCATTTCTGGCCCATTGTGACCTCTGGAAAATGTTCCAGTGGCCCATTTCAGATAGTTTTCTCACATCCATGCACTGGTCAGTTGCTCAGGTGGGGATTTGGGGAAAGAGGAGACTCTGCAGATCTCTGGACCTCTCTCTCTTTGCAGCCCTGTCATCCTGATATGCTGCCTTACGAACTCTAGGCACTTGAGTCTCCCCAAAGTAGCACCTCCATCTTTTCAACTTAAAGACACCAGCATACTCCTTCTGGCTCCTACCTTTCTACATAGAGCTAGAAACTCTATTTAGGTGGTAAGCTAGGGAAATAGTATGGCTTAGCTCATTTGTTTTTCCTCTCTGAGAGATCATTATCCTGTGTTCCTATATTTTCATTGTGCTACATAAACCAATGTCTAATGCATCGTGTATGGGTGTCTTTTTCCGTGTGTTTTGTTTTTGGCTAGTTCAAGACGACTGAATCTTGTCCCTGATACTCAACATTGCCTAGAAGTGGAAGCAGCCTAATTTGTTGCTTGCTTAAATTCTTTGGTCTGGATATGGCAAAATGTATCTATCCTATTGAGTGACAATATCATGAGAGTGCTGCAAGATCCATTAATGTACACATTTTCTTATATAGGATGCTTTCATTTCCACGCAGTAAATGACTATGGCACTATATATTTTTAAGATGTACTTGCCCCTTAAATCTTAATACTTAAAATTCCACTAACAAAATAGGAGTACCTTTTTTCATTTGTCTATCAGCAATAGGCATTATATTCTCTAAAATTCTTCTAATCTGTGGGTATAAAGTGATTTCTTATTTGTAACCCTTACTTATATTTTATTGACAAATGATCTTTTCAAATGTCTCTAATTTCTCAGTTTATTTAGGTCATCTCTAATTTCTCTAAATGTTCTGAAACTTTTGGTGTGTAGATTTAAAAAACACTATTTTTTTTTTTAGGTTTTTGATATGCTTACAGCTATTATAAGTTATATTAACTTTTTTGGTGTTGCTATTATATAGAAATGCAATTATATTTTTAAATATTGATCTTGTATCCAATAACTGCTAATTTTATTATAGTTAAGAGTGTGTGTGTATATATATATATATATATTATTTAAAAAAATTTTTATTTCCTAGGTTCACAATTATTTTCTCTGCAAATGATGACTTTTATTTCCTTGTTTCTAAATCTTAAGGCTTCTGTTTTCTTTGTTTCATTGAACTGGCTAGTGACTCTGGACAAATGTTAAATACAACTGGTGATAGCTGCTATACTTCTTATTTCAGAAGAAAATTTTCAGTAATTCAACCTTAAGTGCTATATTTGCTGAAAAATTGTTTTGCTTTATTAGATAAAAACATTCCCTTCTATTCATAATGTATTTTTTTGTGTGTATATATGAGCCTATGTTAAAATTTGTCAGATTTTTTTCTGTATCATTCTAATCATATCATCATTATCTTTTGTGTTTCTTCATAAGGTGAATTTTTTAAAAATTAAACCACCTTTGCATTTATGAACCAAATCTTACTTGGTTTTGTTTATGGTATTCATGATTTTTATTATATATCATAATATTGGTTCATGATATTTGTATCTATATTTATAAATCTGGTTTCTACATGTTTTCAGATCATGTAGAGTCCCTTCTAGACCATTGCATTAAAAGCAGGTGCATGTTTTGCAAAAGGTGAGGTTGTGGTTGTCACGGACAGTGTAATGCATGGAGGCTGACCCCCTCATTCTTTAATTCTTGTACTATGTAGTCATGTCACCCTTCTGGGTTTGTGGGTGTACAGGAATTTTACATGGAACATTTCAGATTACCAGGAACAATCACCTTGATATACTATTATCCCATTGTTCTCTTAGTATATTCTGCATAGAAAACTTATAAGAAAGTAAATCCGGAGACATTTTCCTAGAAGTCCTTTTGTTTTCTAAATATTAAAATTCTCTTAGGATTTTATTATGCTTTCAAATACATTTTCATTAAATTAATATTTTAATATCTTTTCATCTAAAACTATATTATTTCTATTTAATCAGAGGGTTTATGGTCTTCCACAAGTTTTTATAATTTTCTTCATTAAAGTTCTGTTCTTTTCTTGTTAAACTTATTCAAACATATTTTTTTGTATTGCTGTAACTGTGAGGAGAATATTTCTCACCATTTCTAAATCTAGGGTCTTATTCTAAAGTTAAGAAAAATAATATCTGTTTATATTTACATTACCAAATTCTCTTAATACTTGTAATTATTTAAAAATAGAAGCCTTGGGAGTTTCTACTTTTACTATTTTATTATTGGCAAAACTCTATTTTATTGCCAAAAATCTAGTTTATTGCCAAACTCTCTAGAAAATAGAGAACTCTATTTTCTATTATGTTTACTATAATTTATTATTTTCAAGACTATCAGATTCACTAGGCCTATAAGATAATGTTAGTCTAAGGTAATATCTGTAATTAATAAGGATAGAAATCTCTGGTTTCTTATTTAATTAAAATAGCTCTGTTGTTTGCCATTTGGGATATTTATTTTGGAGTTGATCTTAGTCTTCATTTAATTGTTTACTTTTAATATTTTCTTTTTTTTTAATTGGGAATGGCTATTTTTTTCTTCAGTCTTCTCATTATTTGTTGATCTGAGTCTGATTTTACCCTTTGATTTGTTGATCTGATTGACTATGTTGATAAAGCAGCTAAATTAAACTCAGCTTCCATTCTTGGAAAGCTCTGATTAGTCAGGACATATTTTTTTTTTGTTTTTTTTCAGGACATATTTTTTATAAGGATCTCAAATGTAATTGATAACTTTATAATTAGAATTTTATATCTATGGTCATGAGTGACATTACTCTGAAGTTTATTTCTTATTTTTCCATTTCCCTAATTTTTAAATTAGAGATATCTGACAATATAAAATGAGTCAAGGAGTTCTCCATATTTCTCTAAGACTTAAGATCCCTTCAATAATGTTACAAGTATTCCTTAAAAATAAAACTCAACTGCGGTGCCACAAATTTCCAGTAGATTTTTTAAATCACCTTTCTGGTCATTTTTGTGGCTTAGCTAATTTATTTAAATCTTTTGCTTCTTTTAGAACTGGAGTTTTAGTTTATATGTGCCATCCTTTATTAACTGCTTGTTTGAAATTTTTATATATTGCTTTTAAATGATCAGGGGACTAGGTTCCTTGAATATTCATTATTTTCTAGAATTTTGATTGGTCTTTTATGAGACTTTTTAGTTGAACCTGAGGATTTTTAAGCTGGGATAATTTTTTCAAAATCCTCTTTTCCTATGCTATTCTTTTATAGGTGAAACAATTTAATGAACTTGTATAGTTTCTATCACTCTTAGTTTGAATTAGGGAAACAAAATTTAATGAACTTATATAGTTTCTATCACTCTTGGTTTGAAATTTTATTCTTCTCTGTTGGTTTTGGGATCTTAAAGCTCATATAGAGGTGCCTGGCTGATGCAGTCAGTAGAGCATGTGACTCTTGGTCACAGGGTCATGAGTTTAGGCCCCACATTGGGTGTGGAGCCTACTTAAAAAAAGCCCATATAAACTGGTTCTATTTTTTCATTCAGAAATGATACTGCTCATTTGCAACTTTGATTGCTTGGTTAAACAGGTGGTGGTAGCTATAAAATAATAGTTTATTTTGAAAATCCTTTCCTTTCTGTGTAGTGAGCATTGCCCTGTATCTAGGAAAATCACTTTCTGAATATGGTATTTTTCAGTCAAAATATTGTGCTTTCCAAGTTGTGTATCACTTCCTGATTATCAAAGGGCAGAATCAGGCCTTGACATTGTTCCACACAACCTTCCTTGTAAATTTTCAATATGCAATGAAACTACCCCTGACAGCAGTTCAGAATGTGTGATCTTTTGAGCTGCTAAGAGATGTTATCCCCCTGTACATTTGCCATGAGCACATCCACTGTAGTTAAAATCTAAAAGCAGTTATTTCGTTAATGCTCAGATTAGATCTTTAATTAAGCTTTCATCCCCAGTAGCACAGACAACAATGTGAAACACGTAAGCCCCAGGAGAAACCAAACTCATTCCACAGGCTCACATTCTTTGTGAAGAAACTTAAAAATAATGCTCTCATGAGAATTTCATGAGGGCATGTTGAATATCTAATTGTAAGCTTACAAGCTTCATTTAATTTGATTTCAGAATTTATATTCATGTGACTTTTCCTTTTTTTTTTTTTTTTGTAGGATCATTCATTTATTTCAGATCACATCAATCTCCAAGAGTGGCCAAGCTTGGAAGTCCTATTCTTATAAAAGCACTCACTGCTTCCACCCCATGTCACGTAACCAGTTGTTGGAATTTCCATTGGCCATTCTGTGGTATAAACTGTTAGGTGTGGGTTACTTATGTCAGTAAATGCCTGCTATGTTTTACTGCCATTTTCATGATGAACTGAGGATTTATAGGAGCTATTTCAACATGAAATGTCATGTCCTTCCAAAGACCATTTGCAACATATAACTTAAATGGTTCTTTTTTGGGGCCTATCAAAGAATATTTCTGTCATTTTGTATTCTTCCCATATAGTCCTTCTAGTAATCCAAAGCTGTGGCTACATATTGCCAAAACTGCTGATCATTTTGGCCACAAGTTTAATTATGTAAAATAAAATAAGCCAAACAAGGGCTTGCAGAAAGTAAGATGAAAAGGGGAATAAAGAGGGATTAAGTATGTGCAGAAAAAATTTATTACATTTTGTGAAATTTTATTTTTTTTCAGTTAGTCTTGGTGGCGTCCAGTAAACATAGACCATACAGACTGTCCATTTCGCCAGCACAATAGAGAGAAGAAAGCTAAGAAGGGCTTCTGAGTCAGGCCGACTTGGTTCAAACCTCAGTTCTGCCACAGATTATATTTACTCTGAGGCTCCGTGTCTGCACTGGAAGCATAATATTAGTGTACCTTTTCCCATGGTTGTCAGGATCTTTTTTATAAAAGGTTTTATTCATGAGAGACACAGAGAGACATAGGCAGAGGGAGAAGCAGGCTCCCTACAGGGAGCCTGATGTGGGACTGGATCCCAGGGCCCCAGGATTACAACCTAAGCCTAAGGCAGACACTCATCCATTGAGCCACCCAGGTGCCCCATTTGTCAGGATTAAAATGTCATTAAATAAAGTATCTGCCACATAATAGGTGTTCACTAAACAGAACTCTGCTATTTTCCATAGAACTAACACCCACATTTGATGTTTCTATTCAGCTTCCCTTCTTTTCAGTCCTTTAGAGAGTTCTAGAAAGACTCTAAGCCCTCAGGATTTCAGTGTATTTTATTTTTTTAGTTATCAGAAGACAATGCATATTGATACTGCTGCACACTAAATTCATCATCCATAAATGTGGGGGTCCAGCAGTTTATGCAGGCATTCCTGGTGACAAATTATATATTGTTTAGAGGAATAAATCTAATTATATGTTCAGCTTGATATAAATCTAAATGGGAGTGTTCAGATCTCTTAGTGGATTGTCCTCTGTCTCTCTCTTTTTTCCCCCTTGTTATTCCCTGCCCATTTCTCTGTGGGGATTACATTTAAAGTAACTACCTGGACTCCACTTCCACTTCACCCAGTGCACTCTATACTTGCTCTCCTTTGTTTGATTTCAATTAAATCCTATGTGATAGATAATAGATTTTTTTTTTGAGAACTCCTGAAGCATTTACTTGCTCTGTAAAAGTAGCTTACAAGCTTGCTTAGCTTTAATTCAAGGTCATATGCTGAAGTGATGTGATCACCATTGCTATATACATAAGGCATTGGATACAAAACAATAAAATGTATTAAGTCTAGCTGTTCTGTAGAAATTTGAAAGCAAACATTAAGGCTTTTTAGAAATTCCTGAGATGAAATCAGAAATCATAAACATCTTCTCTTTTTGAAAGATGACCTACATTTTCCATTGTTGTATACTGGTGGCCATTAATTTGTGGTCATTGGGATTGTTTCAACATATGATTGTTTCCACTTGGGAGCATTTTTTCTCTATTGTTGCTTAAACTTGGAAGTTAGCTGTGGTGGGGCCTCAGTGAAATCCTCAGCAGTTTAGGCCCTTGCTGATTTATTTCTCAGAACCAAGTACTCAACCTCCCAAGGCCTCAAATGCTGAGTTAGTGGTTTGCCTTGCTTTTTAGAAAAGTGTTTCGAAGAGCCGTCAACAGATGGCCAGAAGAGGTGTTTGATTTTTACTCTTTTGTCTGTATCTGCTTGAATGTTAGGACTTCTGAGTTGGAGGGAGGGATATTTGGGTTACTTGATCATACTTGTTGGTTTAGGAAGTAGAATTAGATAGTGAGAGAAGGTTATTTATAGTCTGACATACACATAGCTTAATGTTCTTTCCCAAAGGAGTATGCTAAGAATATAGTATTACTTTTTTTACAAGTCTGTGGTAATATATAATACTTTCTTTCATAAAAGTTACAGAATAAGCAAACAAACCAAATTCTTATCTTCTTGAGTAATCAGAAAATCCAGCCAGTCTTCCTAATTGAAACATATTAATAATAGTTATATTCATGGAATAGCAGATGTTTGTCATTATAAAATGGTAAAGTTAGGCAGGGAGATAACTGATCCTGGGTGCTTTGATATGATTAAAGTCTTCATTTTATGAAATTACATTTTTTCCCTAACTAATCACATGAAGCTAATACAGTTCAGAATGTTTTTTTGAAAGGACTTTTAAACCAGGAAGCTTTCTTTTGAGTCTCCTTTTTTAACAAGCTAGTAATTTTCTGTGAATTATCTTGTGCTTTTTGTATAGCCAGCACATGGCATCAACATGCACAAATTTTCCTACACCCACTCATTCCTTGCTCAAGATGTGAACCTTAAAAGCTTCAAAAGTCCCTTCAAGTTACTGTTGGAAACTTGGCATTTTTCCATGGAATGGCCAGGAGATAGGACAAACAGAACACATGGGAGCCAGAAGCTACTATTTCTTACTTATGTTGAGATGCTGTTACTGTTTTGAATTAACTAGGAAATATCAAATATGAAGGAGATTTATGGTAGGTATTAATACCTTCTGAGTTCTCATATTTGAGTTACTATACAAAATTACTTTTAGGACTTCACAATCAAAGACAGGAAGATTGATAACACAAAGCTTCTGCTTTCCAACCTTCTTTGCATTTGTCTATTAAAAAAAAAACTCCCCAACTTGTTTTGCACTTGTTTTAATATTCTTTAAAAAATAATAAAAATCTTAAAAGACTGGATGAGGTTATCAGGGTAAAAGTAGATGAGGCAAGAAATGGGTTGGTTCCACAAATAAAATTTATTAGAGCCAAGCTATATGTTTGAACTAAGTTTTCCAGCAACCAACAGAGACAGATGAATCATCATTTGGTTTATATTCAAGGCAGTAAAAATAACAAAATAAAGCAAAAAAATAGTTCTCCTGAGAATCATCTCCTGAGTGTACGCAGAGATAACAACGTAAACATTCTTTCTCTGATTCAGTACACGCATATTGCTTACCTGTTCCTTGCTGATTACAGCCCTCAATGCTGGGAATAGGGACAACCTAAGTACATGCTTTGCCCTAATGAAATGACAATTTAGGCATTCTGACAGCAATTCAGTGTTAAGTGCTCCAAGAGTGTAAGTACACCGTGACAATAATAATAATAATTCTCTTGAGTTTTGAAATGCCATGTCTTAAAATGTTCCCCAACTAGAGTGATGAACTCATGTCGAGAAATTTAGTAAAAAACAAATAAATAAAATAATAATAATAAAAATTATGGAGTGGAGCTTGCAATGGTACAATCACACTTCATTCTCTGATTATTCTGTTTAATCCAAGGATAGACATTAGAGTATGGGATGTATTCTAGAGAGGGCAACAGTATATGGGGGAAAAGCTGAACAATTACTCTCCACCTGTACATGAGCAAAACACATGGAGGCTAATCATTTAAATGAAAACATTACATTTTACCGAAGATTCTAATTAAGCTTATTCAGATGAAGAATACTCAAGCAAAAACATAATTATGACTAGGAGTCAGAAAAGTCACTGTGGTAATGTTGAGAGAGGTATGTGTGTGTGATGAATGTTCCCCCTCCCAACACGAACTTAGTCCCAGTTGAATTTTGAGGAGCTACCTATATCTTCTTTTCTCTCTCTTCTTTTTCTTTTTTCTTTTTCCTTCTTTTTTTTGAAACTATTATTTTAGATCTTAAAGGTAAAATAGAAGGTAAAAGAGATGTTTCATATACTAGACAGACTCTGATATGAATCAGAGAAAGCAGAGATAGCTGAACTGTTTGGAATACAATTGAGAGAGGGTATGAAGATCTGGCCAAGGGTGTCTGAGATAGGGGAGTAGTTGAAAGAAAGATTCTAGGACGACTGAGGAAAGAAGCAGAACCGTTGAAGAGTAGAGTTTCAGTTGGGCACAGACCAAAATCGAATGAAGAAATTATTTTAAACTCATTAATAATGCCCTGTTAGGTCCTTCATAGAGTTAAGTATCAGAGAGCCTAGTTACTCCTGTGTGGAGCTGGCTACTCCTCTGGGCAATGTCACAAAGCCCTGCAGGAACCAAAGAGCAAGTGGTGTGGCCAAGGCCATCATACTTTCCAGCTTATTCACCTGTACTCATAACCTGTACAATAACTATTAATACAAAAAAATCCTTTCCTTTTGTAAAAATGAATGATTGGCTATTTAAAACATATATAAAATAATGCACAGAGAATACAATTTAAACCAATAGATTAGTCCGAGCTTCATTTCCCCCCCTCTAATTTGCAATTAAAGGAACTGCATTGTTGAAAGTTTTTTTTTAACCATATGAAATTGCTTTGAACATAGTAATTCAGTGTCTATATAAAGTGTGTCTTAGTGAAAAACCAAGAGAAATAATATTATTTAATATTAACATTTATCTTACTACTTTTTAATGAATCAGGTATGAATCATAAAAATAATTCCATTTTGAAATAAGTAGTAAATCTTAAATAGTTATACTTTTAATATACCTGTTTCATAGTTTTTTAAAGATAATTTTCTGTGGCAATGGAAGTTTTTCTCTGCTATGTCCAATATGATAGCTACTAACTACATATAGCTATTGAGCACTTAACATGTAATGAGTGTAACCAAGGAACTGGATTTTTTATTTAGTTTCATTTTAATTAAGTTACATATGAATAGCCACACACTTTTCACACCTTTGCCGATATACACATTATAGTTAAATGTTCCCTTTTCTAATACTTTTTTTTAAAAGATTTTATTTACCTGAGAGCATGAGTGGTGGGAAGGGGCAGAGGGAGCATCAGGTTCCCCACTGAGCAGCAGTCTCAGGGCTCAATCCCAGGACCCTCAGATTGTGAGCTGACCTGAAGACAGATGCTTAACTGATTGAGCCACCCAGGTGTCCCTGTTCCCTTTTCATTTCCCCCTCTCCCCCCATCAAACTCTGGAGTCCCTAAAGACCCCTAATACTTTATACCTTTTCTGACACAGAGCAGCTTCTTTCACTCTCTGGGAAAGTACAGATGTTTACTGAAGCATTGATGCTAATAGTCCTACTCATCCTTTTTCTTCTTCTTTTTTTTTTAATTTTTTTTTTATTTATTTATGATAGTCACAGAGAGAGAGAGAGAGAGAGAGAGAGAGAGGCGGAGACACAGGCAGAGGGAGAAGCAGGCTCCATGCACCGGGAGCCCGACGTGGGATTCGATCCCGGGTCTCCAGGATCGCGCCCCGGGCCAAAGGCAGGCGCCAAACCGCTGCGCCACCCAGGGATCCCTCCTTTTTCTTCTTTTAAAAAAAAATATCTATTAACTGAAAACCTACTAAACACAAACTGCTTTAATAGATTCTGTGAGGACTTCATGCATACATCATGATTTTGGGTTCATGGCTTAGTGTTCTAGTGTGTATTAGCTTGAAAGCCACAGAGGTTGCACACTTGACAAGTGCCTATCTGAAATCACAGCTGTATTAATGACTTTGTTCAGTGATTTCACCCTTATGAATATTAAACTTGAAAAAAAAATCTATGGAAGGTTTCTTGGTCTATAATAAGCTAAAAGCTTGGTCTATAATTAGCTAAGGAGCTAATAAGCTCCTTAATTGTCTACAATGCCAAGTCTGTTAAAGGATTAAATTAAATATAGCTTAAGCTCTTATCCTATTAAATATAGATCCCATTGGGATTTACTTTCTTTTTTAAAGATTTTATTTATTTGAGAGAGAGAGAGAGTGAGAGCACAGTAGAAGTGGGAGAGAGGGGCGGATGGAGAGGGGGAGGGGCAGACTCCCAGCTGAGCCGGGAGCTCGACATGGGGCTCAATCCCAGGACTCTGAGATCATGACCTGAGTTGAAGACAGATGCTTAACTGACTGAGCTACCCAGGTGCCCTGGTATTTATTCTTAATACACTATTAGAATACATTAGCATTGGTGATGTACTGAATGACAGTTTGACAGCTTGCTATTCTGATGGGGCAAATGTATTTCTTTTACCACTAAGGTTAAAGCTCTGTTTTGCTTATTTATAAGCATGGACCAGGGATCCCAGGGTGGCTCAGTGGTTTAGCACCTGCCTTCGGCCCAGGATGTGATCCTGGAGTCCTGGGATCGAGTCTCATGTCAGGCTTCTGCATGGAGCCTGCTTCTCTCTCTGCCTGTGTCTCTGCCTCACTCTCTCTCTGTGTCTCTCATGAATAAATAAATAAAATCGTTAAAAAATAATAAGCTTGGACCATGCTGAAACTTTGCAGGGATCTAGTAGGTAATTGTGGTTGAGGAACCTAAATCTTCCCCTCCCATAGAATCTAATCAAGCACTTCCATTTATTTGACTTTACATTTCTCACTTACCTGCCTTGCTTATCTGAGTTTAGCAGAGCATGGTAGTAAAGTCTGAAATGTAGTAGACAACCAGAAAATATTTTTTGATCAAGTGGTGGCAATTGAGTAGACACTTAAAAAAAATGTACCACTTTGGAACAGAGAATACTTCTTTAAGCTAGATGACTTTTTAAAAGAGCATCTAAAATTTTGGGGGGACCTCGGGGTGCCTGGGTGGCTCAGTTGGTTAAGCATCTGGCTCTTGATTTTTGGCTTAGACCATGATCTTAGGGTTGTGAGACTGAGCCCCGCCTTGGGCTCCACGCTCAGTAGGGAGTCTGCTTGAGATTCTCACTCTCCCTCAGCCCCTCCCCCTGCTCGTGCTCACTCTCTGTCAAATCTTAACAAATATATTTTTTTTACTTGAATTTCTTCTGAAATTGGTACCATGAAATGGGAGTTATCTGTCCATGTAACAAAACCATAGCAGTGAAGGAAAAAAAAGAACAAGAATTTAAAATATAGTGCAACAGAAAAGGAATCCCTTTGAATCCAAAGAGAAAGATTTTATTTCTGAGACTCTTCATCTCTGAATGTTGTGCTTTCTTAGAAAGTCCTAAAGTGCACTTTTTGAAGATATGAGAAGAAAAAAATTGGCTAAACTTGTGTTTATGGAGATTTTGTCAATGTGTTTTATAGAGTGAATCATCCAGCCATTGAGGGAATTAATTTCTGCCTCACATAGTACCTTTTACTTAGAAAATGCTCAGTAAACATTGATTGAATAAATGAGAGTCCTGAATTCCATGTTGTAGCTATTGCTGTCAGCACTAAAATAATTCTTTACATTTTTTTTTTACTACCTAGTTAGGCACTCAAAACCTTAGATTAATTATGTCATCCCTAATAGTGACTAGGAGGTGAAATGATCACCTCCCTCCTCAAGGATGGTTTCTTACTTGATTAAATTATGAATTAACAGTGTTATATGAGCTCCCAAGTTCTTTGATAGTGTCCCCATGAGAAAGAATTAATGAAAAGGACTCCTTACAGTTTTCTTTTACCTGAGAAAATAATTTTTCAAGAAAATATTTTTTTTGGTTTGGTATTTGAGACATCATGGAAAAAGTATAAGTAAAGCCTGAATTTATACACTAATAATGTGTACCTCCCCAGATTTATAAGAAACGAGAGAAGAGTCCTTCCACAGAAGGAAAGACCATGGAAACTTCTGTGGGAACAGGGTGGTACTGCCCATGATGGTGTGGACAAATAATGTGTCCTCAAACTTGTCTTAGTGGTGTGCTAATGTCCTATTTCTTTAGACATCTTGGTGGCATGTGTTAAAAATACTAGTTAGAAGAGTCACTTTGAGCCCACCCGCTCTTTCTTTCTTTCTTCTTCTTTCTTTCTTTCTTTCTTTCTTTCTTTCTTTCTCTTTCTTTCATTAGAGAGTAAGCAAGAGATCAATCACAGGGACAGAGGGAGAAGGAGAAGCAGGCTCCCCTGCTGAACAGGGAGCCTGACGTAGGGCTCAGTCCCAGGACCCTGGGATCATGACTTGAGCCAGAGGCAGACATTTAACCAACTGAACCACCCAGGCACCCGCACTTTAAGCCTTTTCTTAAGGGGAGACTGCAAAGACAGACAAAATAATTACTTAGCATTTTCTGGGCTTGTATATTTGGAGGAAACAATAATTGAGATTATATTTAACAGAAGGGATAGTTTGGATATTTTTAATTATAGAAAAGCTGTTGGATACAGGTAAATGGGATATTTATGTCATTCAAAAACATTTCCAACAGGTGCGATTTTGGTATCATTTGTCTCAGCATTCACGTCTCTCAGTTTTTACAAGAACATCACTGGATGGGGATTTGCAAAAGCAAGGTGATCTAATTGGAATCTCCAAATCTCAGTGGAAACAAGCAAAAATTAATCTCTATGTGAAGCTTGGAGAATCAACCTTACCTTTTCAGGTAAGCAAGCACATAATAAATTAATGCAACTCATCAGGAGATGCTAATGTAATACTAATTTATTTCTCAGAGAACAATGTAACACATATATAACACATATATCCCATAGATTTATCAGATATCAATAATGCAAACATATTGACAATCAGGGATGAGTACAGATGTTAATTGACTGAGTGCTCAAGACTTACGTGTGGACACTTAGTGAAAGTAGAGATAAGAATTGAATAGGAGGACAAGAAAAAAACCCAAAGAGCTAAATATAATGACACAGAGAGAAGTAATTTAATAGGAAGATATTTATTTTTTAAAAGTGAGGATGGCAGATTGTATGAGGTGGTGAAAAAACCTAGCTTGGACTATGTTCACATTTTAATTCTAATGCCTTATTTTCTGCTGCCTATTAATATTGAGAATTTTTATGAATCTTTTATATCATTTTCTTGGTTAGTGATAAAAGAAGGCAACTGTAGGTAATCTGATTGGTGCCTACATTTCCACCCTCTTGGATATGGCTTCCTTCTCGATGACATTTGAAAGGAGTGATTTTAGGAACTGGATTGGGTGATAGAACATAGCAGAAAACACACAGCCTTTGGAATTAGGTGGTCTGACTCTTGATCTCTGCTCAGGTCCTGACTGTTATATCTTTGAGCCTCACATTTACCTATCTGTTAAAACCACAGTGATGGTAAAAGCAATACTTAAGGGGAGTCTGAGTATTAAAGCTAAAATGGTGGCCATAAACATCAGCTCTGGAGTCCAGGGTTCAAGCCAATTGTACAATCATGGGGAAGTTGCTTAATCCCTCTGTGCTTGTTGTTTCTTCTGTTAAATAGGGGGTGAGGTTCATTGTTGGGGTGTTAGGAGCTGCTAATAAATAACGTACCTCACTGGTCCTCATCTCTGAACCAGTTAAGATAAATAAGTCAAACAGAAAAATATTTTAGAGAAGGTGGTTTTAGAATCTGCAGCCATATGTTTAAATAACGCTTCACCTCAGAATAAACATATTCACCCAAAGAACAACAAATTCTGCCAAAGAAATCCAGGACTCATACTTTGGGGGAAACCTATTACTATTAGCCAGAGCTAACATCAGAGTGTATGTGTCCAAAGAGAGTGGGAGTTGAATGGGAGACACACATCATGAGTTTAGCACATCCAGCTTATTCTTCTAACATCACAAATCACTTAAATCCTCCTCTCCATGGAAGAGACTAAGAGGTCAGTAACAGCAATGTTATTGCAGGGAAGTTCCTGCTCATGGGAGTAGGAGGAAGAGAGAATAAATATGGACTCCAGACAATATTCTCTTCTTTCTAGAACTATTGTGAGAATTGAATGATTTTTATATATGAAGCACATAGAAGATATTCTGGCATAAACTCACAAAATTCTTATTATTGCTGTGTTTATCACTTGGACATTACCTGGGCATAGTAGACACTCAGTAAATATTAGTTTTTTTTTAATTTTATAAATTAATTTTTATTGGTGTTCAATTTACCAACATACAGAATAACACCCAGTGCTCATCCAGTCAAGTGTCCCCCTCAGTGCCCGTCACCCATTCACCCCCACCCCCCGCCCTCCTCCCCCTCCACCACCCCTAGTTCATTTCCCAGAGTTAGAAGTCTTTATGTTCTGTCTCCCTTTCTGATATTTCTCACACATTTCTTCTCCCTTCCCTTATATTCCCTTTCACTATTATTCATATTCCCCAAATGAATGAGAACATACACTGTTTGTCCTTCTCCGGTTACTGTGGCCAAGTTCACAAAGGGTGTTGCCTGAGTTCTCCTCTGGGATTTTGATGGAATCTTGTCTCACATTTAGATCTTTCATCTATTTTGAGTTTATCTTTGTGTATGGTGCAAGAGAGTGGTCCAGTTTCATTCTTCTGCATGTGGATGTCCAATTTTCCCAGCACCATTTATTGAAGAGAGTGTCTTTCTTCCAGTGGATCGTCTTTCCTCCTTTATCGTATATTAGTTGACCATAAAGTTCAGGGTCCACTTCTGGGTTCTCTGTTCTGTTCCATTGATCTATATGTCTGTTTTTGTGCCAGTACCACACTGTCTTGATGAACACAGCTTTGTAGTACAACCTGAAATCTGGCATTGTGATGCCCCCAGATATGGTTTTCTTTTTAAAATTCCCCTGGCTGTTTGGGGTCTTTTCTGATTCCACACAAATCTTAAAATAATTTGTTCTAAGTCTCTGAAGAAAGTCCATGGTATTTTGATAGGGATTGCATTATACGTGTAAATTGCCCTGGGTAACATTGACATTTTCACAATATTAATTCTGCCAATCCATGAGCATGGAATATTTTTCCATCTCTTTGTGTCTTCCTCAATTTCTTTCAGAAGTGTTCTATAGTTTTTAGGGTATATTTTGAGAACCATTTGAATGGTAAATGGTTCTCCAACCTTTTATTTTCAGGTTGTAGGTGTCCTTCTGTCTAAAATGAGTCTCTTGTAGACAGCAAATAGATGGGTCCTCCTTTTTTATCCAGTCTGAAACCCTGCGCCTTTTGATGGGGTCATTAAGCCCATTCACGTTCAGAGTTACTGTTGACAGATATGAGTTTAGTGTCATCATGATAACTATTTACCCGTCCCGGAGGAGCAGGAGCTGCACCAACCTTCCCGGGGGAAAGGGGCTCGCAGGGAGGTGGAGCAGGACCCAGGAGGGCGGGGATGCCCTCGGGCTCCCGGGGACACTAACAGACACCTGCGCCCCGGGAGAGTGCAACGAGCTCCCTAAGGGCTGCAGCGCGCACGGCGGGGACCGACCGGAGCAGCTCGGAGGGGCTCGGGAGCGGCTCCAGGGAGGGAGCTGCAGGGCGGGAGCGCAAATCCAACAGCGCAGGCCCCGGAGCACAGGGCGCCGTGACACAGCCCAAGATCCGGCCTCCCCCGGGACAGGCAGAGGCCGGGAGGGCCCAGGACAGCAAGGACGCTCCTGCCCCGAGCTGAGCAGATCAGCGGCCCCGCCCCGGAGCCTCCAGGCCCAGCGGAGGGAGAGCCGAGAGCCGAGAGCCGAGAGCCCCGAGCCCCGTAGTTCCTGCGGAGGCTGAATCCAGGCTTCCAGAGTTGCCATAGCAACTGCGGCTGTTCCTCCTGGGGCCCCACGGGGTAAACAACCCCCGCTGAGCCCTGCAGCAGGCAGGGGCAGAGCAGCTCCCCCAAGTGCTAACACCTGAGAATCAGCGCAGCAGGCCCCTCCCCCAGAAGACCAGCTGGACGGACCAGTGATACTCCCCCGTGTTCCAATACAACTTGTTTCTGGCCACTCTGCACTGAGCAAAATGACTAGAAGGAAAACCTCAACTCAAAAGAAAGAATCAGAAACAGCCCTCTCTCCCACAGGGTTACAAAATCTGGATTACACTTCAATGTCAGAAAGCCAATTCAGAAGCACTATTCTACAGCTACTGGTGGCTCTAGAAAAAAGCATTAAGGCCTCACGAGACTTCATGACTGCAGAATTTAGATCCAATCAGGCAGAAATTAAAAATCAATTGAATGAGATGCAATCCAAACTAGAAGTCCTAACGACGAGGGTTAACGAGGTGGAAGAACGAGTGAGTGACCTAGAAGACAAGTTAATGGCAAAGAGGGAAACTGAGGAAAAAAGAGACAATCAATTAAGGGACCATGAAGACAGATTAAGGCAAATAAATGACAGTCTAAGGAAGAAAAACCTACGTTTAATTGGGGTTCCCGAGGGCGCCGAAAGGGCCAGAGGGCCAGAATATGTATTTGAACAAATCCTAGCTGAAAACTTTCCCAATCTGGGAAGGGAAACAGGCATTCAGATCCAGGAAATAGAGAGATCCCCCCCTAAAATCAATAAAAACCGTTCAACACCTCGACATTTAATAGTGAAGCTTGCAAATTCCAAAGATAAAGAGAAGATCCTTAAAGCAGCAAGAGACAAGAAGTCCCTGACTTTCATGGGGAGGAATATTAGGGTAACAGCAGACCTCTCCACAGTAAATATTAGTTTTGAAAGGAAGTCTCCTCTTGACCAGAACTCTAGGTTCAGAGATTAGAAGCTATTTTACCCAGGTCTCTAAACTCCCTGATTCTCAAGGACCATATTTATGACTGCACTCCCACATCTAATACAAGAATACTATGAATTGTAACTCTTAATAGGAAAATAGTAAAGGCCAGTCATGGAATCATGTAAATGCCAATCTCCATTACATGTGACAGAACAAATAAACTCAGAACAGTCTGATCCCTTGCTTCATTTATTTATATTCTGTATAACATTATTTTCATTAGGTTTGCATTTAGTTAGAATGAAACTCAGTGTGAAGATGTTTGAGAGTCCATTGTTAATGGACATTATTGGGAATTAAACAGAATGTCCTTTTCCACACAGAAACGTGCACTTGAATAATTATTCCTGATTTCCTTATGATTGCCCAAATGTAGAAGTATCCCAAGATGTTCTTCAGTAGGTGAATGGATACATAAGCTGTGTTACCTCCAGACAATGGAATATCATTCAGCACTAAAAAGAAATAAGCTATCAAGCCATGAAAAAACATGGCGGAACCTCAGGTGCATATTACTAAGTGCAAGAAGCCAACCTGAAAAGGCTACTTTCTTTCTAAGTCCAACTATATAGCATTCTGGAAAAGGCAAAATCAGGGAGAAAGTAAAAAGATCAGTGGTTGCCAGGGGTTGGGTGCAAGGAGAGAGGAGGGATGAATAGATAGAGCAGAGAGGATTTTTTAAAGATTTTATTTATTCATGAGAAACACAGAGAGAAGCAGATAAATAGGCAGAGGGGGGAGAAGCAGGGTCCATGCAAGGAGCCTGATGTGGGACTTGACCCCGGGTCTCCAGGATCATACCCTGACCCAGAGGCAGATGCTCAACCACTGAGCCACACAGGTGTCCTGAGCAGAGAGGATTTTTAGGGCAGTGAAAATACTCTGTATGATAATATGATTGATGATGGACAAATGTTATACA